GTGGCCCAATGCAAAAAGCATGAGGATCCATGAGGATCCGTGCTTCAAAACCACGTTTTTGGGCCACGGTTTCCCCACGAAGCCGTGGATCCGTGATTTTTGTGGTGGATGCTGTGCCCATGGCGATGATGTTTGATCTGATGGTGACTTTGGGCTGATCTAGTGCAAAATCATGAGGATCCATGAGGATCCGTGTTTTTTAACCATGTTTTTGCGCCCCTGCGGCCCCCCGAAACAGTGGATGCGTGATTTTTTGATGCTGCCTACAGAGTAAGACATGGTCTACAGTATCATGGTGGTTTTATTTAATTTGAATGAAAAAATCATATGAATTCATGAGGATCCGTGTAGATCCGCCTTTTACCTTTTTCCAAATATTGGTGAAGGGGAGAGAGGGAAGTTAAAAGCGGCACCATTACAGATGCAGCATAAAACAGTCAGCAGGGAAAATAAAAAAGGTATTTTGCTTGATATCAGAAAGACAATATGGGGAGACGCCCAGGAAAATTCTCTGGGGGGAAACCTCTAGTACTGGAGCACCAGCTCTTGAGAAGTGCCCCCCCTTCTCTTGAAGGCCTCTCCTTCAGAGCACAGGAGCACCAAAGGCAGAATAAAATTAAGCAAGAAAAGCTACCACCAGTCACAAATTTTCTGTTCAATTTCTGGGTGTCATGCTGCTGTTAAAAGCACAGGAGAAGTCTTTGGGAGAGCACACCTGCAAAATTTGCTCCCAGAGGGTTGGGAGACCAGAACACATTTTTGAGAGCACTGTTGCTGTTATTGATTAAATTTGCATGCCTTTACCGGTGGATCCCAGGGCGGTTCACAGCATAAAATAACGTGTGGGGTCCCACTGTGTGTGTGTGTGGAACCCAACACGTGTCATGAAAAATACAGCCCACCCTAGCCAAGCAGTTCTTTACGTAAGCAGCTATATTTTGAAAATGGGTGCACAAGAATCTTGAGCAGACTTACTATGGCATCTCCCACTTCTGCCTCATCGTCCTTGTAAGCAGGGATTGTGGTTTTGCCACAATCTGGCTTCCTCTTCCCTCTCACCCCTACAGGAAGTTCCCTTTTCTGGGACTTCCTCTTGACCTAGGAACTGATTACATAACGCGGAAATGAGAGCATCCCCCACATGGCGCCTGAGGAAATCTGGGGCTAAAGAAAGGGGAGGGAGGAGTGTTGTTCCATATATTAAGTGATCCAACTTTTTTTTACCTCATGTCATCCAATTTTTCTTAATATGTGGCACACTTGTTGAATGATCAGAACTTAAGTTTAATTTATCACTCGGCTATGGAACACATTTTTAAAAGAAAAGCCCAACTAGCTCTTCAGATACCTTTCAACTGAATAACTTACTAAAGAAATTCCCGAAGTAACTGAGATTACAGTTTGAAGTCTTATATTTTACTCCCAAGAAGACCCATTTATGCTAAATAGAACCCAATAAGGCAGACATGTATCTACATTTTTAAAAATGTTATTCCATTGAGCTCCTAAGATGGAAATTTGCAGGTAGCTTTCTAAATGATCAATACATATTTGGGTGGGGGGATTTTTTATCATGTTAAATTTTTTAATCACTTTTTTAAAAATTCAATTTTGTAACTTAAATTTAAAGGACGCCCATCATATTAAAACCCATGAATTTCTGAAGAGATCAATGTTTTAGTTTTGATGTATCTCCATTCTTGGCTGAGCTTTTAAGGTTTTTGTGTCATCTGCAAGGCCAAAATGGTCTATTTTTTGAAATTTCAAACCCTCATAACTCACAAACAGGATGAGATAAAAAAAAATTTTTTTTTAGACATAAACTTAGTTTTTATCATTCATCTGGTGTATAAAATATTAAGACAATTGGATGACATGAGGTAAACAAAATTGGGTCACTTGATACGGAATGGGCCAGGGAATCACCATCCTCTTAGGCTTCCACAAGACAGAATCTTAAGCTCCCTTCTTCATCCTACCTGTGCTGCATTCACCTGTCCCTGCCAACTTTTGGGCAACATAGACAGGAAGTGAAGGAGCAGGATAGTACTAATGTTTTCATCAGAATTTTAGGCTTAAGTATTAGTTTGCGTCATTATACACAAGCGATCATGGTGGAACTTATATATGTGCAGAGTCTAATCTCTGATCTCTCACTGAGGCTGGATCTAGACACACCAAAGAAACGATTCAGTTAAACGTGTTGTAAATTTAAGCAGGGAAATCCAGTAGGCGAAAAATGAGACTCCACATCGCCATCTAGTGGCACAGTGTTATATCGCATATACAACGCATATAAATAGCTTTTTCTTTAGCAGAGTCCTAACTCACAATAGAACTTACACTGTATATTTATGTGTGTGTATATACATCCCACCCCTTCGGCTTAAACTTTCTACTACAAATCCATGGTGGTTCTCTTTCAGCTTAAAATACAGAACAACAAAGCCCTTGAAGTTGACCCCTGTGAACATAAGAGATAAATCAAAATACGTTTAGTAGCTTTGGCAGGGAAATCTTTATCCTTAACTTGTTTCATTCTTATCTGCCCACAAGGGATTTGCTTGATTTAAGTAGTAAGTTTAGATATTTTGTAGAAGGACATTCTTAACGGTGTATATACTTCCAGAGTCTTTCAGTCAATCCCTGATTAATGGACATAGAATCTGTAATTAAAGCACTGTCAGAAGCCTGAATGTCCCCTAGATAAATCTTCTCTCATCTGGTTTTTGTAGTTATTGGGAAAGAAATCAACTTGATTTATTCTTACATTCACATATTTCTACTTTATAATACATTGGAGAACACTTACCAGTATAATAGCTGAAGAGTGAAAATTCTTACCGGCTTGCTACAAGCATCCTAAAGAAAACTGACCATTTTGTACACAATAGGTAAAGTCTTAAGAGTACCATCAGTGCTTTAAAAAAAGAAAAGAAAAAAGGCATTCGTACTCACCCTCAAGATGTTACAGTTAAGTGCCATGCTTTTAAAATTTGGGGGGGGGGGTGTTGGTATTATGTACCCTTGAGTACCCCCAGAAAAAAGCACAGGTATTATAGGGTGGTTTTGTTTTTGTTTTGCATGCATTACTGAATGCAGTGTGTACCCCCATGTACCAATGCTTTCAGTCCCCAATGTTTTTGGTTTCCTTGTGCTGAAACATGTTTCCACAAGCAGGTTAGACAATGTACAAGCCTTGCATGCAGAAGGTCTAGATCCAGTCTCTAGGATCAGACCAAAGCAGAATAGCCTGCTGGAAGTTCTAGAGAGCTGCTGCCAGAGTAGACCACACTGGGCTAGATGGATTTTATTTTTAAAATAAAAGCTTATTCCATACAATTTTGGCGAGAGTTTCTTTATATTCTTGCACTGTATAACACAGCCTATTTAATATAAATTAGACTGATCAAATTTCCTTTTTTTTAAATTGGGGGGGGAGGGATATGGTTTGTGGGTAGACAGGGAAAGCAATAATAGGAATGTTATCAGCTCTATGTGGACAGATTTTGGCTCTCATAATTGCTCCCTTTGTCAGGTAATGGCAAGGTGAGTAGTTTTGCTAATGCCCCCTGACTTCATGCTTCTAAACAGAACAATAATCAAATTTATTTGTGATGTGTGTTGGGGAGAATGCAAGTACAAGGAAGCTTCCTGTGTTTGTTCCTATGTAGATGTGATGTGCAAGTTTGTGTGAAGCAGCCTTCACTGCAAACAAACAGCAAGCTGATAAAATCAGCACATAACATAGCTCCACCTTACAGACACACCTGCTCATTCTCACTTTGAGTTGCAGCCTCTGATCTTCCCACTTGACTCCAATATCTCACAATTACTTCTAGTTGCAGTTGTCCCTATGTACAGTATGTTAACTTTGGTCCTTTGTCAACTCTTCAGACCCAGCCTCTATGTGTTGTACAATATTACAATGCACAAAATGCGCCCACTCTTCCATTTTTAACACCCAGGTCAAAAGACCTAGGCCAATTCTCAAGACTGCATGAAAGCTCACATAATAACTGCAGTGTAATGCAAAGTTTGAGACCTTTGCCAATTCTCTCTGTTCAGTTTGTGATGTTTTCCTGAAGAACAAGTGATTACTTGTTGATGTTGTAAAACCTTTAAATGCTGGCCATAATGAAAAAGTAGTTTGCTAATCAAGGCCTACATTTTATATAAGAATGCTGTTCTTTTTATTAGTTCGGCGTTTTCCATTATATTAGTAATAGTGCAACCTTCATTTATTTCTGTGAAACAGCAGCCTCTTTTCTTTCTACTATTTCTTTTTAAAACATGTCCCAAACAACCTAGTACAGAAAACCTACTGAGCTTGGCAGGCTTGGAAAACTTCCAGGGACTTTAATGAAACTGAATAGGTTTTGCTCAGATAAAAATACAGAAGATACTTTTAACATTATTTGAAAGTATTCATGACTTGGCAGGTGTTTACATTTAGCTGGCTGCTACAGACTCCTGCTAACAAACCAGAGATGTATTAAAACTGAGAGAGCGAGATTACGTTACATGGAAAAATCCTTCAGCTTTTATACCGCTGGCTCTAAAAAGTGTCCTCTAGATCTTTGAACTGTAGGTGCTCCCCATCAAAACAAAAATGTACAATTACTGAGCATATATAGATGAGCCATACAAATAAAGTTAGTGCAAGGTAAATGCAATGGGCAGGATCTAAGGTCATCTCAATGTTCACACAATGGGATTTGCCCTTTTGTTCCGCCCCGCTGCAGCACACCCCAGAGCAGATTTTGGGGGTGTGCATGGGGCTCCCGGAGGGAAAGAGCAGAAGGGGAAGTATGACTGGTACAAGTGGGAAACCACCACTGGGTATCACCCAACATATTTAGAGAAGCAAGAATAGCTTCCGCCCAGACCAAAGGAGGATCTGGGAAGGATATCTAGAGCACAAAATAAAGTCTAGCTAGATATGTTGTGCTGCTTCAGCAGAATGTGATACCTGCTTGAATTTCTCCCCACCCCAACACACTTTTTTTAAAGCCTCTCAAGTAGCTACACACACACACACACACACACACACACACACACCCCAAGCAGAAAATGGGTGTATCTAAGGTCTAATAAGACAGAAGCAGGAAAAGGGGAGGGAGGGAGAAACAGTAGCTCTTCAGGACCCCAGAGATTCCTGTTGCCAGTATCCAAACTTATCAATCACAGCTCCAACGTCATTCGTTGGTTTAAAAACAATGATAGGCAGGAGCAGCCAGGCTTTTTCATTTCACATAAATGGTTTAGAAGGGTACAAATTTTGCTTCATGACTTTTCTCCTAGGAGGACCAGAGATGCTTACAGGAAAGAAAGAAAGAAAGAAAGAAAGAAAGAAAGAAAGAAAGAAAGAAAGAAAGCTTTGAGTCTGGGAGCCCTGCGTGGGGTACCAATGAAAGCCTTCACAGGCACCATGGCACCCATAGGTGCCAAGCTGGTGACCCCTGGTCTATACTGTGGTGGCAGATGGAATTGGTTTTTTTTGTTTTGTTTTAATGTTTATTGTTTGGGTTCTTGTAGCTTTGATCATTGTGACCTGTCCTATGATTGCCTAATGATGAATGGGGTATATATTTTACAAAGCAGTACTGTATTAGCAGGGGAAAGAGGAGGAAATAAGGAGCCTATGTTTCTTGGAAACAACCATGTTTCTCCAATGATGTGTAGTTCTGACCTTCCATAGCAACAGAGGATTATGCAATCAAATCTTTTCAGTGCAATTCGGGGCAGGCAAATACATTAATTTTAATTCAGCGTGGCTATGGCTTACAGCAGAGAGAGTTGTGTAAGAGAGAACGTTTGTCTATAACACTTTGTCTATTAAGTCTACGTCATGAGGTTGCAGAGAAAGGTCTTCTTGCAGCTGTGAAAGCCCCTTCCTCTGGAAGCCTCCAAATGTTGGCTAATTCACACACCCCTGCACCATATTTCCACCACATAATTCCACTGTGAATGCATAAAATTGCTTCCCTTTTACCATCCTAACATCCTAATTTCCAGAGGAGCGTCTCCCCACTCCAAAGGCTGTCAAGCTCAAGCAACTCCTTTTCATCAGTGTAATTGTTCCCACTGGCGAGGTCAACTTACACTTGCAAGCTTAACTTGCTGACCTGACATTAATCCTGCATTAATTAAAAAGAAAGAAAAGAGGGAGGATAAAACATGCCAAACAGGAATAAATGGAAACTCGCCATTACATTTCATTTGCATAATTAAAGCTCCATAATCTAAAAAGTGCATAAATTATGAGACCAAGCGGAAAAAAAGAGAAGACAGACGCACACAAAGTAAGCAAATGCTGAAACATGACAGAACAGCTTGAGGGCAATAGGCCAAGCAGTTTTTGCACCAAAAAAGGAGAAATCTCTGAAGAGGCTCCCTGATGGAACAGCATGCCGAATCTATACGGCTGTTTCCCCTCCCCCCACCAATCAAGCTATATGGGGGTTACAAGCAACTCATTGATTTTGGCAGCATCACTTTTGCTGATGATGCTAGCCTAGCGTGATCAAAATGGTAATTGGCAGTCTCCATGTGGCTTATAGGTGTTAAGAGATGTTGGTTCCGTGTTCTTGACACTTGTAAAACCCTCGTCTTAAAAGTACCCCATGAATAAGTGTAAACATTAGATTTGTAACCAAAAATGTAAGGATATTTAATGCTACTATATTATAAATGAATAAAATGCCCTAGCACTCTTCAACTCATTTCTTATTGGCAACCTGACATCATCCAGACTTTTTCAACTGCAACCCCCATCAGCCCCAGCCAGAATTCAATTTCCCCAAAAACATTCTCCCAGAATTAGTAATCTACCATGTTTTTCTCAAACCTTGAAGTGTCTCAGAGATTCTCATATTCTGAACTCAGGAAGGAGCATAGCTCAATGCAGTGTTTCTCAAACTTTGGTCCCCAGCTGTTGTTGGACTACAACTCCCATCAGCCCTGACCTGCTAGCTATGGATGATGGGAGTTGTGGTCCAGCAACAGCTGGGGACCAAAGTTTAAGAAACACTAGCTCAGAGTATCAGATGCAGAGGGAGAGCGCTGCTTTGTACACTTCAGGTCTCAGGTTCAACCTCTGGCATCTTCAGGTAGGGCTGGGGGAACCTGAGGGACCTTGCCAGGAAGTGCAGAAAATACTGACCTAGATGGACTACTGGTATGATTCAGTATAAGGCAGTTTCCTATGTTCCATAATGCCCCAGTCTGCAAGCACATACAATGCCTCTGGCTGCTCTCTGGTAAATGGCATTAACACTGAGAATCATGTTATTGTTGGCCAGGTCAAAAAATGAAACAGCTGTCTAGCAATATAGGAGGTGCATCTTTTGGAGGCGAAGCAAGACATGGGGCAGAGCCAGAGGTTTTATCTTGGACCTTCATACGGAAGGTAGCAATTCAAGAAGCTAGCATCCAGAAAAAACCAGCACTGATGTATATGTGGCGTTATCTTCTGAAATAATCAACCTTTGGAGCAAAGCATTCCGCAGAAAGGTGCCTTTGTCATGCCAAAAACGAATACAAAAGGCGTGAGGCAACCTGCTGATGCTATTGGAGGTCTAGGTGTGGTCAGTATTTGAGTGGAAAATTGCCAGTGCCACCTATGTATGCCACTTTGAGTTCCCATGAAATTAAGGTGTAATATAAACGGAATTTGCTGTTTTCTACTTGTCTCAAAGATTGGTATGCTCTACAACAATAATGTCTCAGAGATTATGGGGAAGAATACAAGTATTGTTAATAAATAAATAAGAATAGGTGGAGAGCTGATAATTACCCCTTGCAAGCCTGAAAATAAGATACGTTTTATCTCTTGGTGCACCCCCTCTGTGCTTTTAAAGGCTTTAATGGGTTCCACCTATGGAATAACACTAACAAACAGATGCAGACAAAGCAATATAAATACACCCAAGTTAATGAGTATTGTGGTCTAAATATTTAGCAATTATCAACGGGCCAGGAGGAAACTGAATGCAATTAATTAACGCTCAGTTATGAAAGCACAATAAATCAAGAGGGATGTGAGCCAGCTGGACAGATTACTTACAAAAATATTATGTAAAAAGAATTTATATCTACTTTATTCTGCGTCTTTTCATTTTCCCCCCAAAGGGAATATAAACCGTGAAAGGTACTGGCTTCATGAGTACTGTGGAAATGAAAAGAAGACAAGAAAGTGTATAATTTTATGTTTTGGTATGCCAGCTTGACAAATAAGTAATAGATGAACTTCACAAAAATAAGAAAATGGTAGAAATGCCTGGAAATATATATATATATATATATATATATATATATATATATATATATATGTATGTATAGATATATATTTAACCTGATTCTACAACTCACAATGAGCATACACATCTGTTGTATTTGTTCCTTAACAGTAAACACAGAAAAGAAAGAAGAATGAGCAGGGATCTACTTTCCATGGATGAGACGTCCACATTTATTTCCCCTCCCCCTATAGGCATAAAAAATGGCAGTGAAGTACTCTGTGAATGAGGCAGGGGATAAGAAAAGTGCAGATATACTGGACCAGAGGTTTGTGCTTCAAAATTACACCGTTCATTTTTAAAAACAAAATGATATTTATTTATAACATTTCCTTGTATGATCTCTCTTCCTTTCCCCCCTCCTCTCTCTCTTTAAAAGATGTCAGCTTTTGAAATCAGTTTTAAAATGACGCACGGCATTACAAATGATGGCACTTCCAACCAATGTGGCGTTTCCATATTTACACCAACGGAAAAGAAATTTACAAGACATGATAGCATATAATCTTGACATTTAGTAACAGCAGTAAAACAAGTAGGGCATCCATATTTTTTTTTTCTGTACAAACTATGAGAACAAGACTTTTATTCACATTTTCTTTTTTTTAAAAAAAATTATATCTGTAATTTGTTCTGACCTACACATTTCCCAAAGCCGTTTCCCCTCAATTCTCAAACCTTTCGTCACATTGCCCACACCTTCACCAGACTATAGGAACTACAAGTAATTAGATCTAACATCTAAACAGAGCAAAAGTTCTCCCTTTCCAATTTCCTCTTCCAAATTTTCTCCCATCTTCAAAGATAATCCCCTTTAGGGGGGGAAAAACAACCTTTTCCTTGTTTCCTTCTTTGCAATTCACTTCCACATTTTCCCCTCAAAACAGCAAACCCATAACTCAATCGCTTTTCAAAAAAAGTTAGAAAGATATGTTTCTGTTCGTGATTTTCTAATGCTACACCCAAGAGTCAGGTGACCCAGGGTATTGTTCTGCTCTATAGGAAGGTCGTCTGGTGGAATAAAAGTCTACATAGTTTGTGGCTGATTTCAGTCCATACTGTGTTGTGTAATCTGTAGCAGATGGGAAGTGAACTCGGTCATCAAAATATGGGTCCTCATAGCTATGTGGAGACTGCAAATATAACCTGTATGCATCATAGTTCTTTCTGTTGGGATCATCTTGACTGTAGTACAACTGCTGATGCTGTTGAAAAAGCAAAAAGAAGGGAAGGAAAAATACCTCAGTTGATCTATGTATAGTTGTAGTAGCAATTTATCCATTCACATGAACATGAGGTGTGCGGCAACATTTTTGCACACAGAAAGAAAGCCTTTTGTAAAACCATTCTCAAAGTTCTTTAGTTTCTTTCAGACCCATATTTCCATGGGGGGGGGTGGAATGGGGATGTGTATGTGAGTGGGGGAGGACAGGAAATAAATGTAGTAGTCTGGAAAAGGACATGGCTATCTGTTGATTTAAAGCAGAGTCTGTCGTGGCCAGCGGAAGGATGAAGAATACGTGCTACATACTCTATATTGCTTTATTTACAGTTCAAAGCTGGTATATTACAGAAAGACATCTTGCCTCTGCAAGAGCAGAAAATGCATCCTCTCTCCTCAACAGCTCGGAGAGAAACACACAGTGAAAAAACAGGAAACCAGTGTACGTCACATCCAGTCTCCCTTTCCCGTGAGAAACTCCAACAGTACAGACTGTGGAATGTAAAACAATGTCTTGTGACTGCAGTTGCTGCTCAGTGAGGGAAATCAGAAACCAACATCCTCCCCTTTCTGTGAACATCACTGGGCAGCGTGTTCGTACAATATCAGTACAAACCCAACTTCTGCACATAGGTACAGTGTTGATCCCTTGATACAATCTTGGACAATACATCAGCAGGAATTTCATTACCTGGCATATAGGACACCGTTACGAGTCCCTTCTGAATACATTCCCTAGCATGCTGCAACTTTAATTGCAAGTGCTTTGTGCTTTGCTTACAACCTTCAGACTTCAGCAAAGCCAAACATGCTTTGTTGTCCTGGTAAACCTGGATTGGACATTTGACAGGAATTTTCATATCTTTGCACAATTGTACTAACCATTCACAATCCTTAAGTGAATAAGACAGTGCATTCAGTTCAGCTTCACAAGTACTTAAGCTAACTGTTGTTTGCTTCTTGCATGACCAATCAAACAGACTCTGATTGTACATATAGCAAACTCCAGACGTACTTTTCCTGTCTGTAGCGTCACTTCCAAAACTTGCATCTGCAAATATCTCAAGACCACCAGACTTCTGATTGTTAAATCTCAGTCTGTAATGCATAGTGCCTTTCAAATACCGCGCTATGCGTTTCAGAGCTTTCCAATCCTTGACACTAGGATTGTTGACTTGTCTGCTTAGCAAATTACAGCTAACAGCAATGTCTGGTCTTGAACATCTGGCAATGAAGTTTAGCTTGCCTAGCACACTCCTGTACAGTGTAGTGTCAGAAAATGCTTCTTCAGTGTCATCTACCTGATAACCTGTTGTCATCGGTGTGTCTACAGGGTTAGCATCCATCAGATTTAGTTTGCTTAACACATCAGCAATTTTCCGTGACTGGTGTACTAGAATGTTACCATCTTGATCTCTCTATATTTCCAGAGATAGGTAGTTGTTTACCTCACCAAGATCTTTCATGTCAAAGTGGTGTTTCAGTTGAGCTAGGCGTTATTGTACATTGCAACATCTTTCCAAAAGAATAATAAATCATCAACATAAAACAAACAGTACAGTTTCTTTTGCCCCTCCTCTTTGACAAATACACATGGATCAGCTTTCCTTGCTGAAAACCTAGAGAAAACAATACTTCAGTGAGTTTTGTGTGCCAACACCGTGCACTTTGTTTGAGACCATAAAGGGATTTCTTCAGAGCACAAACAAATCCCTGTTTTACCTGTACGCCATCAGGTGGAAGCATATAAAGTGATTCATCTAGAGATCCGTACAGAAAAGCTGTATTAATATCATGGTGACTAATGTGTAGATTTTCCTCTGCAGCTAGCTTGAGCATAAGCCTAATGCTTTCATATCTCACTGTGGGTGAATAGGTCTCGTGATAGTCTTGACCTGGTACCTGTGCAAAACCTCTGGCTACCAATCTGGCTTTGTGTCTGACTATCTTGCCATTTTGATCTGTCTTCGCTTTGAAGACCCATTTGCTTCCAAGCAGTTTCATTCCTGGAACTACTGGAACTAGCTCCCATGTTTTGTTCCTTTCTAAGGAATCAAGCTCAGCCTTCATGGCATTTAACCATGGCTCAGCTTCCTTTGAATCCAAACCCTGGATTTCTTGGAAACTTGAAGGTTCAAATACCTTCTTGGAGCTTTTAACAGCTGTTACTGCTATCTTAGCAAACTCATCAGCAAATCTCTTTGGAGGTTTGCCTTTTGTGGCTCTCTGTGACCTACGAATTAGCCTTAAGTCTTCAACACTCTCCTCTTCCTTCTTAGGAGAAAAACGACCTATTGTGAACAATGGTTCCTCCAATTCTTGATCAGAGCTTTCAGAGGGTCGCATAGAGGCTTTCGCACTCTTGAAATCCTCTGAATCACCCGATTCAGTTTCAGATTCAGACTCAGAACCTTCATCAGTGGGTGTGGGCTGTTGTGGTTGCTTTTGACTATCCTCAGTCTCATCACCGTCATCAGGATAACATTGGAAAATTCCCACATTCTCCCCCCACTTTGCATTGTACTCAACACTTCTCGTGAGCTTAATTGTCTTAGAGTCAGTCATCATTATTCTGTAAGACCCTTTCTGATAACCTAGAAAGATACCATGCAATCCACGCTTGTCTAACTTGGAGTTTTGTGGTGAGCGAACCCACATGTCAGAACCAAAATCTTCATGTGTTTGATGTATGGCTTCTTGCCAAACATCTTCTCATAGGGGGTACAACCAATCGCTGAAGATAACCTGCGATTGTAACTGTAAACAAAACACGAGAGAGATTCGGCCCAATAACTCTCTGGAAGATTGGCATCATGCAGCAAGGTTTTTAGACCTTGAAGCAATGTCTGATTTGCCCGTTCCGCAAGTCCATTCTGCCATGGCGAGCGAGGACTAGACAAATCGTGTTGAATTCCTTTCTCAGTCAGAAAAGCTTCAAACTGCTGAGAAGTGAATTCCCCGCGATCACTGAAAAGAGTCTTTATCTTCTTACCATGCACATTTTCCAACCAAGCACAGAATTCCTTGAACCTAGGAAAAGCCTCCGATTTCTGCTTGAGATTGTACACAAAAATATATCTAGAAAATGCATCAATGAGAACCATGAAGTATCTATTTCCACCCAAAGAGGGCGATAGTGGTCCAACCAAATCAGCATGAACAACCTGGTATGGTTCTGTAGCTTTCCTACTAGACACCTTACCTTCGCAGCCATTTTCACCTTGTTTGCTGCGCATGCTTTGCACTTCATGTGGTACCTGCAGGGTTTAATAGTCATACCTTCAACCAAGGCAGGCATTTTAGATACTGCCTCAAAATGCAAATGACCAAATTTTCGATGAAAATCGTGAATACATTCTGCATGCAAACTTTTGTTAGAACCTGCAATGCAACAAGTGTCATCCTGCACCACATCATCATAATACAAAACAAACAAACGATCAACATATTCTGCATGCAATACATAATCATTTTTCTTTGTGATGATGCACTTCTTGTTCTTGAAGGAAACGTCAATGTTCCGCTCATTCAGCTGTCCAACGCTGAGCAGAGTATGTTTGGCGTCTGGCACGTAAAGCACATTCTGTATCGATAAGTCCAAACTGTGAAGAACAACAGTTCCGTAGCCTTTACTGGGAATAGTGTGGTCATCCGCCTGGTGAATCGCACCTTCCTGCGGTGTAAAAGACACAAACAGTTTCTTATCGTTGCACATGTGGTGGGTGGCCGCTGAATCAACAACGAAGAAAGATCTAGACGTCTTCTGGACCTCTGCAACCTTTGGAGTGAAGCGTGAAACCATAGCCTTGTGCTGCGTTGTCCTAGACACCGGACCTTTGCCTTTGCCTCGGCCTTTTCCGCGCGATGAGCTTTCGCTGCGCTGCTCTGTCTTGGCCCTGGGATGTCTGCATCCCTCTTCATATGGCCTAGACGTCCACACGAGTAGCATTTCACTGCCTTCAAAGCTTTGGCGCCATCTGGTGGTTCCACTGCACTATGGGATGACGTCTGTGAAGACTCCCTTGCCCATGCAGCTAGCACCCCGGCGATCTGCTTCATTTAAAATCACGGCAGTAACAAAGTCCACTGTCAGCTGAGCAGTTGGTTGCACAGCAATCTGGGTTGCAACAGACTCCCAACCTGAACCCAAAGATTGTAGTATCATGAAAGAATACACAGCCTCTGGAAAGTTGAGTCCTCTCTGTTGCAGCTCATGTCTCAGATTTTGCATCTCCATTAGATGTAAACGCACATCTCCACCTTCAGCAAGAGCCATATTATGCAGCTTGTTAAAATAAAACATAGTGGATCCAGCTTCTGTCCTTAAGTGAGCCTCTCTCAGAGCGTCCCAAATTTCTCTGGCTGAGGTCTTATCACGCAATAGACAGAGCTCTTCTGGGGATACTATCAATGTAAGAGTTCCCTTGCTTTGGAATCCTTAGCTTCCCATGCATCTGTAACTGGAACTGGGGGTTTCTGTAATCACCTCAAACAAACCCTCTTTCCGCAGAATTGCCTCTGCATACTGAACCCAGTCGCTGTAATTTTTCTTGTTGAGCTTAGGAATCCCACAAGCATCCTGAAGGGCCATCATGACTCTGGCATTAGCCTTCAGCGTCATATATATGCTGCTTTAAATCTTGCTGCGTCACTGCTGCAGCTGCCTTATCACAAAGGCACACTTAAAAGTTACTTTCGATTTCCCAGCATAGTGACTTGTGCCTGGGAGCCTTTTGCCTATTCCCGGCAAAACCGGCTTTAAAAGTTCAAAGTCCAGCCATAAAGCCATTAACTTGAAGCTGGCAGGCTGCCCGGAGCAGTAGCACATACCTCATCAATCACTTCTACGCGCAGAGCAGATTCCTTTCCGATCCGTCCCTCTGCATTCCGATCCTCTGCCGGCACTCCGATTCGACCTCTGGAGTCCATAACCACGTGTTGATTTAAAGCAGAGTCTGTCGTGGCCAGCGGAAGGATGAAGAATACGTGCTACATACTCTATATTGCTTTATTTACAGTTCAAAGCTGGTATATTACAGAAAGACATCTTGCCTCTGCAGGAGCAGAAAATGCATCCTCTCTCCTCAACAGCTCGGAGAGAAACACACAGTGAAAAAACAGGAAACCAGTGTACGTCACATCCAGTCTCCCTTTCCCGTGAGAAACTCCAACAGTACAGACTGTGGAATGTAAAACAATGTCTTGTGACTGCAGTTGCTGCTCAGTGAGGGAAATCAGAAACCAACATCCCAATGGGGATGTGTATGTGAGTGGGGGAGGACAGGAAATAAATGTAGTAGTCTGGAAAAGGACATGGCTATCTAGGTTTCTGGCCTCAAGGAAAGGAATATACCACACTGCAACGTTTTGTTGCAGGCTCCATTGTATAATCACCATTGTTCTATAACTAGTATGGCCTATGTTGCATGTGTAAGAGGATGAATTTCTATTTATTGGTACAATTTTATCTTTCGGCAATTCTGATTATGCCCAAGGTATCTTTAAGAATCTGACTTGTTCTTTTCCTATTCTGTCCTCTGAGTCTTCCCAATTCTTACAAATATTATGTCAACATCTGAACAAACTTTTAGGAGTGAAGACAGGTGTAAAGTAAAGGACTCCCAATCAAGCTGATCTGTTGTTTCCCCAGCTCTTACATCAGGGGCCCTTGCTGCTGTGGCACTTCATCAGCCTCCTCTTGGTAGAAGATACTTATACTGTTGTTTATTTTTTTGGCCTTTTTTCATTCTTCCCTAATTGCAATTCTTGTTGTGCTGTTGACTTTCTAATTTTACACCCCTAAACACTTGCACTTCTTTAAGAATGCATAATTAGTTATTCCTGGGTGAGGAAATGATTCATTTGCATTTATCACAGCACATAATTTGCAAATGTTGCTTATAGATTTACAGTCTGAAGATGTTTTGCATGCCACTATGGTGTAACCCTGTGTCCTTTGTTCAGTTCCTGTCTAAAACTTGTTATAGATCCTTGACACAAATGTTCACTTAACACTTTTCATTCTGCTGTATAGTTCTTTAAACAAACAAACAAACAAAAAACTTCAGGAATATAACTTTGACTTCTCCATGTTTTCTTGCATTAGTTGCCCAATCCTTTGTGTTTATCTCTTAAAAATCCTAGTACAGTGGTATCTCAGGTTACAGACACTTCAGGTTACAGACTCCGCTAACCCAGAAATAGTACCTCAAGTTAAGAACTTTGCTTCAGGATGAGAACAGAAATCGTGTGGCGGCGGCGGGAGGCCCCATTAGCTAAAGTGGTACCTCAGGTTAAGAACAGTTTCAGGTTAAGAACGGACCTGCAGAACAAATTAAGTTCTTAACCCGAGGTACCACTGTACTGAAATCAATAAAGCCATAAACTGGTGAACAGTCTGGAATCTCAGGGAAGAATCCAACTGGGGCCTTTGCACTTTTTGAAATGCTTTTGATCCAGGAGAGGTGCCTGCTAACAGAAGAGGAGGGGAGATATATCTAATCTATCTCTCTATCTCTATGTATCTATCTCTATATTTGCCAAGTTCCCCTTCCCTATTGCCACTTTTCACTTTGTTCTAGTGAATCCCCAACTTTCTAGAGCTGATTTTCGGGGACTGCTAGGGGATGCAGGGGAGAGAGAAAACTTCCTCTTCTGTTAGCAGTTGCCTCTGTAGGATGAAAAGCTCTTCTGCAAGTGCAAGAGGACCAGATTGGAATCTACCGTAAATCTGCTGAGTTTGGGTATGTCAAAGAATTTTGTGCAAACAAACCAGCAATGCCCACGTGGCCACTAGACACTGAAGACAAGTGGGAGACAGCAGGGCCGCACAACTGGTGACCCACCAAGATGAACAGAGCTCACTAGCCACATTTGACAGGTAACTGACATCCCCCCAGTTGTTCATGCAGCAAAATAGGAAGTTTATCGAATCTGGTGGTGGGCTGCCGGGTTCAGCAGCTTAATAGGTTACAAGTTGTACAGGCCTGTGGTGGAGAAAGGGTGATCCAAAAGGGTATATTAAAAGGGAAATGCGGAAGGCTGTGTAGTACACTGCAGTTTTATTTCATAGAAAATAAGAAAAAATAATATTCCAAAATAAGATTTGTATGGAATGGGATAAGATGGAGCCTTGCTTTACTACTGCACTGCAGTTGCAGTGTTGAGAACCATAATCCAGGCACCATAGCATTCTGAGTTCATTGCCTGAAGTTAGAAAGTTACTTTAGGCAGCAGGAATCCATCAGTGAAAATGGTTTAAAAGCCATTAGGTTAAAGGAAAATGCACTCTCTCCTGGTGATCAATATGGTCATTTTTTAAATTAAGATTTCAGCTTTTACCTGCAGACGCCTATTTTGGTCTCTTGCTGGTGAAGAATAGGAACTGATATAAATTGGCGAAGGCTTGCTGGACCCTGTGGGAAAACGGCAACAGAGTATTAAAAGCAATATTTGATTTGCTCAGGTGTCATGCTGGGCTGACTTTCACACTTCGGTGAAAGAGGAACAGAACTGTATGATACATATCAATAAAGGATCCCAATATTTCCCACCTTGGGGGAAGGCTACAAGAGCAAGGTCAGGTTCTGACCACAACAACCACCTCTAGAAACAGACACCTGGATATCCAGCCTTATGGAGCACATTTGACTTCAGTGGTTTATTTGGATGCATATAATTTGTGCTTCTCTCTGCTGAAACCTGACTTGCAGGTTCCACCCCCTCCTCAGACATCTCGGCTGTATAATGATGCTATGCTTCATGACAGAAGGAAGACGAAAGGAAGGAGGCAGAGAGTCCCTTAGCGAGAATTGCTTGCTGCTGAATTTGGGTTATAACCTGTGATGCAGTGAAATGTTTTTGCCAGCATTCATAAGATAAGCATGTGTTTCTTGAAAAGTAGTATGCAATAAAATATTTTACAGATTTAAATATGTGCTTGAATAACACTCATTACTTTTTGATGCTATTCTATTGCTACTATGAATATGATGTGACCCTCTTTGCTTTCGCTGCATGACATGTTGTTTTTTTCTCATTCGGAACATGCTTTTTTGTTTTTGGTAAGCAAGAAGTTTAAAAATTATGTACCAAGCTTTCATTTTCCATCTCACTGGTCCCTTACCAGTATACATATCTTTATGTGCAATCCCATCACCTTGGCTATTGTAATACTGCATAGAAGTTTGGGTCCTATCATATTCGGAACGAGGGTCTCTAATTCCTAATAGCGCTGGTGATGAAGATGTGCTTCCAACTGGGGAAAAGAAGGTGAAAGAGAAGAAAGGAGAGGGAAAGAGACGGGGAGAGAGAAAATCAGTGCCAGACAAAAGGGTTAGGAAAAAGTAGAGGGTTCTTCGGAACTGCTTTGTAATAATAGGCTTTCGGACATGTAGGAAAAGCAGCAATAAATGTAATTCCTTAAAACATTCATATAGAATCTCTAGAAGAGCTGCAACACCTTAAAGTTGAGAGTCAATGTTCATTAGAATGTTTGGCCAAGATTGTGGAGAGTCAGGCAATGTGTATAAATCTATTTTTTTAGGATACAGTAGCTATATGGGCCTACTATTCTCTTCCCACCTCCTACCCCTGATATGCAGGTAGCTTCCCATTTACACTGAGGTTCCGGGCTCAAATGCACATACACAAAATCGTGTAAATTGGGAGTACCCTGGAGAGTCCTCCTGGTTCGGGAGGAGACCTACCCCAGAGCCAGAAGAGGATCTTCCCCCAAGAGAGCCAGAGGGGCAAAGGGGTTTGCTCAACTAACGCGCAGGGAACCTTTTTCCTCACCATGAACTACAGTACCACAGCTTTCCATGGAAGAAGAAGAGTTTGGATTTGATATCCCGCCTTTCACTCCCTTTAAGGAGTCTCAAAGCGGCTAACATTCTCCTTTCCCTTCCTCCCCCACAACAAACACTCTGTGAGGTGAGTGGGGCTGAGAGACTTCAGAGATGTGTGACTGGCCCAAGGTCACCCAGCAGCTGCATGTGGAGGAGCGGAGACGCGAACCCGGTTCCCCAGATTATGAGACTACCGCTCTTAACCACTACACCACACTGGCTCTATCTTCTTAAATTAATACTGTTTAGGCCTGTTTGTAAATATCGTCTCTTTGTACATCACAGAGGCAGGGTGCCTAAGTGCTGTGGAGGGTGGAATATCTGGTTAAAAATGTATAGACTGTTCGTTGAACTCTGTCATACCAAAAACCAGTCTGATGGCTTCAACTATATATGAGAAGAATATGCTTGAAGTAAAAAACTGAGAATGAGCCTCCAAAGGTTTTTAAAAGGAGTGAACAAGAGCTGATCGGGGAAATTAACATCTAATCTGGCCACATACAAAGGGAAAGGTTTATTAACTGACCGGACTGAATGATAGGCGACATTTGTTGATTTGTTGTAGACAAGGAGGGATGTGACTTGAATCTGTCACGCTCAAGTGTTGACACTGGGGTAATAAAATGATTTTGATTCCAACCATCCTGTGGAACAAGAAAAAGGAGGTCATATGAAAAATGAATGACATTTCATTAGAAGAACTAGTTTAGATTTCATTGTGGAATTGCATCTTGATGAATACTAATTTTTGTATGAACAGCTTTTATGTGTTACCTTCTTGTAAATGCTGCGGAGATCACGATATTGCCATAATGTGTTCAGCACCTGGGCTGCTGCCTTGACAACCTTCAGTGATGACCTGAGAAGTAAAAAAGTTTACATTTAGTGTACAATATTACTAGACATGCACATACTACACAAATAGAATTGCTTCTTCTCATGAGAATTATTTTGTAGGGTTCCACAGCTTTGAGTATTATTTACCATGCTATTTAACATTTACATTAAATTACTGGGTGAAGCATTCTGGGTATTTGGAGCCTGGTGTCACTGATATATTGATGACACCCAGTTTTGTTTGTTCTTTTTCTTGGATCCAGGTGTGATGGTGATCTCTCTGAATGAGTGCTCAAAATCAGTGATGTACTGGATTAGGACGAATTAGCAAATTCATTGCAGGCAAAGAGATATGTGATGATGGTGGCTCATTTAGTTGCCCAGATGGATGAAAATAAGCGTTTGGAGGGGGCTGGCTTTGCATTCCTCCCTAAGGATTAGGTTCACAGTCTGGGAGTACCCGTGAACTCAGCACCATTCCTGGATGTTGAGGAAGCAGCGGCTGTGGCCTGGAATGCTTTTTAACAACAGATAGCCATGTGAAATGGGCCTGCTGCTAAAAGACATTCATACTTTGGGTATTTTTCTATATTAGATTACTGAAATGCTCTTTACTGTGGAGCTGCCCTTGAAAGCTGGCTCGGAAATGTAAAATGGTGCAAAGTGTGAGTGAACATTTGTTAGCAGAAGTACACTTCTGATTACATTTTATACCTGCTTTAAAACCTCTATAGTTTTACCAGTTTGTATATGTGCCCAAATTCAAGGCACTCACTACATTCTAAGAATCTTAAGGGAAGCACTTCCTTTTCTATGAGCCCGCTGAACATTAAAATGTTGAAAAGCAGAGTCAATCCTGATAAACTTGAGATTAGATTGTTATATATGAGGCACAGGGCTTTTTTGGGGGGAGGGGGGTAGTGACCACCTTAAACTGTGAAATTTCTTCCCTTGATGTAATATTTTCCCTTTGTAAAGACCTATTCATTTCATTTTGTTTGGTTTTACCTAAATGCCTTGGAGCTTGGACATGGCACCATTAATTTATCTGCTGTTTTCCTTATTCTTGTAATTGTTAATAACATTTTTAAAAAACTGATAGATCAGGCCAAAGGTCTATTTAGTCCAGCAGCATCTGTGTAGGTAGATCTAATCCAGGCATAGGCAAACTCCGGCCCTCCAGATGTTTGAGACTACAATTCCCATCATCCCCAGCTAACAGGACCAGTGGTCAGGGATGGTGGGAATTGCAGTACCAAACATCTGGAGGGCCGGAGTTTGCCTAAGCCTGATCTAATCTATAAGGACACCTTAGTTTTATGACATTTCCTCTAAATTCACCAAGATTTTGGTCTAGGAATAGTTTGCAGAAATTTGCACACACACACACACAAATTATACATAATAAGGAAACTGGCAGGCACAGCGTGGATTTTAGAAAAATCACACGGAATAAATGCCAAGGTCTCTCCTCCCGTGCTGAACAGATTGCAACTCTATGAGGCTGGTCAGCTTATTAAGTAAGACAAGAATGCATAAATAAATACTCTTTGTGTAGACCACAAATTTTCTTAAGTTCCTCTTATCAAAATATTTTTCACTTGAGACTTTCTAATGTTCTACTTGCCTGTCACCTCTTCCTTTTGTTATGTTCACCAGTTTTTCTATTCCTCCTGTGTCAGCCAGGGCTTTGGCATTCTCCATGTTTTTGCTGGTGACCTCATGCAAAGCACAGCAGATTGCTGCCACAGTTTCATCAGAGAGAATGTTTGGCCCATTGCCTCCGGGAAGGCGATTTACCAGGTCTCGCATAGCGTATTTACCTGGGGAGGAAAAGAAGCCCATACAGGAACTTTGCACTGTTCTAAGGTATTTTTAGCATCACATAGAAAAACACACTGCGTAGAAACACAACAAGGAGACTTACAAATCCAGAAGCACTCTGGGTGTGTGGGGAGGATTATTATTATTATTTAATACAACTTCATAAAAAAAAAGAAATCCCTTTGCTATGCAGAGTGGCAGCAAGGTACTGCAGTGTCATTTTTCAAATTAAAAATATATTGCCTTCTTTTGCTGGATTAGAACAAAAAGTGATTAAAATGATTGTGGCAACATGCCAAAGTACACAGACATACACAAATCTATGTATTTATTTTAGATAAGCTTGTTTTAGCTGAGCCATTTTATAGTAAGAGAGAGAGAGAGAGAGAGAGAGAGAGAGAGAGAGAGACAGAACACAATCAAATTAATTGCTCTGGTTTCTAGCAATCTGTGGTTTATAAAAACACAATAAATATTTCACCAAGGCACACAGATCCCCCTCTTTCTTTCTTTCTTTCTTTCTTTCTTTCTTTCAGAACTTTGAACCAATGGAATGTGAGAAGTTAGATGCTGTATTTGAGTAAGATGCTAAGCCATAATTTAGGGCTACATGAATGAGCACAAATGAAGAGTTGGGCATAAATGCTTCTTTCCTTTTCCTCCCATGGGGTTGGAAGAAGAACCAGCAGAGTCAATTTTTTACTTTCAGAGAATTCTACCTTGCTGTGTTAAAAGCCTGACTGTGGTAGCTTTAATTACCAGCCGGCTTCAAACTGGTGGGTCATGAAGTTGTCTTGTTGAACTAAGCAGAGCCATTTAGGTAGAGCTAAATCATGGTTTAGCATTGTATGAGAATGTGGCCAGTATCTAGTATGTACAGAAGCAGAAAATATGCATATGAAGTATAATTGTTATAGGAGAGAAAAATCAGTTCCCAAGATTGTGGGATTGGTGTTCAGTGAAATTTAACAAACTGCACAGTAAAACAAAGAAACAGTATCCTAAAGCTAAGGTACACTAAATGCCCTGTGGGCTGTGATGATAATTTAGTGGCCCTGTAACACAAAAACTGGAAGTGTATCTGTATATAAATGATAGCTAGCAGGTTAAGTAATATGAGGAAGGCATTAATTCTTTGCTCTAGCTGAGCACATGCAGACAAATTCTGATTCATAACCAAAGAAGAAACGCTACTCCATTGCATACTTGTAGCAGTGTACAATTTAAAAACATTTTGTGTAAATACAAGTGGAACGGTGCATAAGCAAGGAAATGGCCCATTCACTTCTGCAATCAGGAATATTCATTTCTCTCCTAGTTTGTGACATGGATTGCAACTCCGCTTTGCAAAACGTTGTGTAATAACTTTGGTTTTGGACCATTGGCTTCTGAGACATAGATCTCTGAACACACTGATTTTGTTAGATTAAAATAATCTCAATAACTTCAACACCTCTCTAGACTCTTAGAAATAGATATGTAGCTGAGGCCAGATGATAAAACACAGGAAACACAAACGCATCTTCAGGGAACCATTTCCCCTTTCATTTGTCTGCTAAGGAACCCCTGGAGATTGCAGAGAATTCTGTAGCTGGTTTGTGAGTATGCAAAATTCACCTAGATGTTAATCAAGCCAATTTTTCTTTCTTTTACTGCAGTGTAGTCCTGGTTGAACAGAGGACTGAATCACACATAATGTAGATGGACTCCTGATGGAATTTTAAAAATACTTTAAAAAACACTCACAGAGAATTTTGATTAAGTGGGTCTGGGTTTATACATAAACCCCAAATAATCATTGCTTTGAATCCTTAAGTGGTATGATGAATGCCTCTTACAACTTTTTGTTTTGTTGGCATATTATACTGCTGTGTTGACCCATGAAAGTGAATATCAGAAACGCTGAAGCCTTATACTTTTAATGCTTGAGAACTGCTTTCAGATAACAGTTCTGGTAACAGTTTACCACAAGGTGCTCAAACAGGGTGAGTGACTATTGCAGCTCTTTCCCCGGTGCCTTTGCACAGAGTTTTAGAACCAATGGTCTAGGCTATACCCATCAATATTACTCTGACTTTTACAACAGAAAACCCAGATGGAGGAAAGAGGGCTGCCGAATTAATCATTTGCAGGAAATTGGCCATGTCATCTATATAAACACCTACCTATCCATATCAACATTTTGACAGAAACATACATTATTGCAGGAGGGGAAAAGGTTCTAAAAACAAATTTGAAAACACTCTTGATCTCCAAGGGAAGAATATGTTTGGAGGCTGTCAGAACTCATCACCAGCATAATGAATCTTGAGAAGGTTATGACTTTACACCAAAAATGAAGAATTTCATTTTCAATCAAGCTTTGCAGATATAACTTCCTGTCCGATACAGTTCCATTTTCCAGCGACTGCTTGCTATTGAGACAGAGGGTTGTTTCCAGGGCATTACCAGTGGTGTTACGCTGGTGCAATGGGACTTCTACTTCCACCCCCTGCCTCCACGCACCCCTGACTAGAGGTCTTTCGCTCACTGAGATCCCCTGTGATGGCTGAGCTGCAGGGCTGGATATGGCTACAGGAAACTCCAAAACTAATTTTTTAAAATATACAGTGTTTCTCATATGGACATCCTGCATAGTTAGGTGTCCCTCATTACTTACCAATAAGCTCCTTGTTGCGGACATCTAATGCCATATTTCTCAAAGCTGTTGCCACAGAAGAAACAACTCTGTCATTGTCCATTCTCAGCAGTTCCACGAGAATCGGAAGCCCTTTCTCTTTTCTGACAGCAGCTCGAATATAGGCCGCAAACTACCAACAGAAATGCAAAATTACTTAAAAACATGTACATTTTTTTTATTTTAAAAAACCAATATAGCCAACCTTTTCTTTCACCATGTACGAATTTTAATACAAATTAGTGGGTGTTGTCCAAACCACAAAATGGAGCTATGTACCCTACTCGCATTAACTTAAGTGCGGGTTTGGCATCAACCTCACATTTGAAGAGTTTTCATTATGGGCCACAGAAAGAGATGAATTCGACTAAATATGTTAAATGGTATTATAACTGCTTTAATAGCTATTAAATATGCAGTAACATTTTATGGTGGGGAACGACAAAATTTTTGGTTCCTTTAAAAGGAAATCACCTGCTGGAAGTTCTAAGGCAGTATGTCACTCTAGGAAATTTGAGGTTTTTTATTATTATTATCCCTTTGGTGAATAAAGAAAAGCGATTTAAGGTATGCAGGGTGGTGCTTTTACAGTATACCAGCTCTGCATATAGTAAGCAGGAGTGTATAGCAATAAAACCTATTTGTGAACAGCAATTAATCTCCTATTTGCTGATAAACCTATCTGTGCTTCAGTTAATTTAATTAAGCTATGACCTTTCTTTGCACGGCTTGCAGAAAATGCTGGATTCGGAATATTTGGAGATTTTGTACTGAACAATATCTTTTCTTTAAAAAAGTGAGGCTAAGAATTTTGCTCCTTACCCCACCCCAGTTATGCACTGGTAAGAAACCCTCAGTGCTTTTAACAGTAGCATGTTGGTAATGTTCTTCCCCAAAAGCAGTCCACTTTGTGCTACTGTGGCTGTAAGGTGAATAGATGTACGAACTGGGGGAGCAGAGCTCAAGTTAAATATTAAAAATGCCATTACTTCATACAATAGCAAGGGAGGAATTCAATGTAGGGCTATGACAATCATTATGTTAGTACAAGCTTTTCTGTTTGCCAGATGGAAAAACCCTCCGTCTCCTCTCCCCACATGCTGTTATGAGGGTTTTCATGACGCCCCGCCAATTGGGGAGATGGGGGGAGGAGCCCCACTGCACTAGCAGAAGTCCCTCAGTTAGCAAGACTATTTAATTGATTCCCACCCTTAACGTTCTTAACTTTCCCCTACATTTTTCCTGGAAATTTTTATTCCACATTCAAGGTAGAAAAAAATATTCTTCTTCAATAAAAAAATACAGTGTGATTGTCTGCCCTCTCACCCTTGTGCAGTATGGAAGCTTTTCCTTCCATTTTATTTCTTATTTTACTCTTCTTTATGTCTTGCCCTATTAGCACAGAGGGGCTAACATTACAGCAAACAACACAAAGTAATGTTAGCATCATGCTAACATTTCAGATTAGCTTGTCATGATAGCTAATCCTGGACAAATTGTGATTAGTAGCCTCAAGTGTAGTTTGTTGAAGCAGACCGGCTTCAAACCTTATAGTCTGTGAAACTGGCTTCTGTGCCAGAGGTGGACAAAGAACAATGGAGCTCGCTGGCTTGAGACGGCTCGTTCTTGTATAACACTGAAACAGGACTTAACATTGTGTCCGAATGCAGTCTTCCTCTTCAAATAGAATGGGAAAATATATTTGTACAGCTGCATCAGGTAGAATACCATGAAGAGTTATGTTCCACCTCCCTTGCACATGCCACTATTAGCAAGGATGGCCTGGGCACATTGTTCCTAGACTCCATACATAAAAGAATAATTGTGCCACATAATTCTAAGGTATTGTTGAGATGTCAGTTCATGTAATGAGTCAGGACCAAATGCACTTTATCTTCTGTTTGATGGGCAGAGTATATCCACTTGTCCATATGCATGAATTATGGGCAGTATTCCACTAAGTTTTACTCAAAGTACCACTGCTGAAATGAATGAACATGGCCAACTTTTGTCCAATAATTTCAATACGTCTAAACTATGGTTGAATACCATCTTACTTTTTTTTTTTTTAATTGGTCAACTTTACATATAGTTCATATGAGATCCTGTAACCTGAAGTACATTTCCTGGATAAAACGGCCTGCAAAATGTTGGATGTTGCCACTGGCTCTCCACTAGAGCATCAGTGTTGTTGCAAAAAACACTGCAAGGGTGAAGTAGCAACAGCTTCAAGTTTCATACAATACCTTCCAGTTGCCCGCAGAAAGATTCTGGAGAGATCCTGCAGAACCTTCCAAAGTAGCAGGGTTGGAGCTTTCAGCTAGAAGAGTTAGATACGGTTTCACTACAGAAGGATGCCACAGCATTTCCACACCTTTAGGAGACTTTGACAATCCTGGTATTGGGCCAACTCCATCCCACTGTGAAAGATAATGCACTTATTATATGTGAGCTCTGTCTTTTAAGCCAAATCCAAACAGGATTGTTTAAAACATCCTGTTACGTGGTATCCTCTAACATATTGGTTCATAAGCCATGGGGAATGAGGAGGAACCAACCTGGTCCTCCTGCGAAGTTTTCTTCTTCTTCTTCTTCTTTTTCCCCCAGCAGCTTGGCTCTGAATCTTTGCTAGGCGATTCCTTCCCCAAAAAGTCATCCAACTCATTTATACCCAGAAGGCGGGCCTGAGGCACTTCAAGCTCAAGACGGTAGGAAAGGTTTCTTAGTGTGCACACACAGTTTTCCACTGTCTGTAAGTCAAACACAGGAGAGATTCTGTAGTGAAATACATAGTGCAGAAGTGATTTGGGAATATGCATTTAAAGGATGAATTAAACTTTTGAAGGGATATCAGGGGAAATAGGGATCAGCTAAATTTTAACCATGATGAGTCTTTTAGTAATCCCTCTATATGTTAGTCCAGTGTAAAGGTTATCAAACTTTGTCACAGTCAACCTCTCCAAGTCAACGAGAATTGTGTCCACCCAAGATTGAGTAAGAGAGCAACAATTTAAACACTGAACCTTCAGAAATACTACAAGGGAGGGGGAAGAAACTAGAAAGATCCGGAAGATAAAACCCATCCTTGTTTTCATCATTTCACAGTTCCAGGTTCTGCTTAGACAGGCAGCATTAATTTGCATGCTTCAACATTCTGTGGCGCAAAAGCGTAACAACTCTGTGACTGCAATGGTATAAACAAATTACAGCCCAAACCAGACAACTCTCCTGATAACAAAGAAAATGTTGTCAAAAGATCTACACACCTTGCTGTCATAATCTGAAGTATTCACACATGTATGGATCACATATAACAATGAATCAACCAGCCCTTCACAAGATCTCATTTGTTTCCGTGCCTCTTCTCCTGCAGAGCTTAGATTCCTAAGGCATAAAAACCAGAATCAGAATGGTGATGCATATTAATAAACACTATGTATTTTAGTACTCTTATTATCAGAGACATGCAGCCAATTGTCTGCATACGGAAAGCTGCTTAGATATGACGATGATATCATTTGCTGATGAAGTGCGAACACATGTCAGAGTTCAACTCAGTGTATTCCAGATAATACTGTGCGCGTGTGTTTTATAATGACATTTTCAGTTAACAGGGCGGCTATTAAAACAGTGTTGGACCAGAATGCCCCTCGTTACTGTATATTCGTTGCTATAAAGAATAGATTGTTGAGAGAGAGGATCCAAAAGATATCAGGATTATGATAGAGAAATCTGTTTTCCCCACTCTAATACTATCTATAACCTACTGCTTGCTTTAAAAAATGTGGCCAGTTTTCTCTGCAGATTAAATATATACCTTTTTGTGTACTTGTTAGGGCTAAACACAGAACTCTGAGTAGGGTCCTCAATGATTCATTTCCCCAGACCACTCAGTGACTAAAAAATAGCCCTGGGTTAAAGGAAAAAAAAGGAGGGGGGAGCACTGCCTATATCAGTTCTCAGTCAATCCTTATTGCTCAGCAAAATTTCTTACCCAGATATGTGGTTGGCAATAAATGATCCACCTGCTGCACTAAAGCCTGCAAAAAAACTACTTGTTGCTGCTTAACGCCAATCCATTTGGCAATGTCTGCATAGTGTGGTCTAATCTGGGATGGGTCCAGGCCACACTGAATGGTTGCTGCCAAAAAGATTATTGTATCTTTACAATCCTCCCAAGGCCAAGGAAGCTAAAACACTAACTTTGAGCACGTTCTCCCCGATTCCACCACCTGAAAATAAATAAATCAAAACACACCCCTTTTGTTGTCTATGTTTTTAAAATGTATGCAAAACTAGACTATTCTTTGGGTGATGTTTATTGGCTCACAGACTGTGTGAATATCTTAGACAAGGCAATGGGGTTTGTGAAGAAATACAGTGGGAAGCATGGTGAAGCAGCACAGACTAGGATGCAAGTTAAAGTTGTTGGAGTAGCAGCAAGTAGTTGTTGAAGGAGGAGCATCTGGAAAGGCATTGGATTATATGGTCCTGTTATGCAGTGGTCCTGTTAGTTATGCAGATGTCCTTGCACGAAAGAGACATCACCGTATGAAACAATCCAATGTATACACAATAGAATGTATATTTTGTATTTCTAAAACCAAGGGCTATTTTTTTAATTAAACGGTGCTTTTATGAGCTCTTGGCTGCTCTTCAATTTATCTCGCTTTCTGGTGAAGTGATTTATCATAATCTAGGTTTGCCTCCCCCATTTGGTGACCACCAGATGATCTGGAATACAACTCCCACAGACTTGCTGCGACTGATGATAAGACTGCCGTCCGAATGTTGTGGAGGGCACCAGGCTGGGGAAGGCTGTTCTGGATCTACCTCCACATCTTTACGAATCTATCTTGTTTTCAGACCTAATCTAACATGGCCATTTTTAATTCAAATCCTGCCTTCTGTCCTTGCAATCCCTGACTAGTCTGCTTATTCTTCACACTTGCCAACCAACATATTCCTGGTTGCATATTGTGGTTTAAAAGGTCACTACATTTTTAGCTGACATGTTATAAATGGACACTTAAATAAGATGTGAATGTGAGTAATGCACGTTTGCCAGCATGTACATTATACAGATGCATTTCTCACAGAGCCATGATGGGCTCCTGAGTAAACTTGGTGACAAATCCAGGTTTGCCTCTGCATAAAGAATGAAAAAGATCTAAATGTATCCATTAAAAGGTGCAATCCATCAAACGCTGGTCCAGTTCATCCCCATTTTCAACAATTGTCCTATTACATAACTTAATATATGCACCCTGCAGCTCCAGATGTTGTCAGAAATGTGACATGATCTGGTGATGCTCTGCGTTCCTTTCTAGCCACTGATTCTACTACGACTTGATAAACAAGGCTTCATGGTTTACACGGCTAAGGATGATCCTGGCTTGCATCCTGGCCACAATATCCTTTTTGACATTTCCCTTACTGAGCCGATGACTTCATCAGCTGGCTATATTGGTCATTCATGGATCATACTGCTTTGCTGAGTTCCTTACTGCTGACCCTAACCTTGAATGCCTGCAAGCCAAGTCTCACCAAAAGCAGAACTGAACCAAGACAGAGCCCTTTTGAAATCATGAGCTACTTTAAAAACTAATTTCAAGGATCATTTCAATAAATATATGATTCAATTTAGACACCACACCAAATCAAAGTTTGTGCTAATCATTGTTTAGAACCAAACCATGGTATTACCTTCCAAAATTAGAGGCAAACCCTAGTTTAAAGCTGCTTCTCTGCTTTCATTTTTATGTCTGCTCAGCACTCTAATCTCTTGAAACAGTGGCTTCTGGGGACAGAGCAATAACCATGGTTTTGTGATCACACCAATTATGGTTGCTCCAAATCATGATTTGAGATACTGGTTTGTTGGCAAATTGTCAATTACAACATCACTGTTAAGCTTCCTTAGCCATGGTTTAATGGAAAAAGGCACAAATGTTTGGAGGGGATTAGATGGAAGGTTGTAGTGGAACTCTTAATTGTGAGAGGAGGATACTGGGGTTTTTTGTGGGTTTTTTTAAAGCAGTGGAGCTCCTCTTACCTGGCAGCCACAAATTTCTCCTCCAGAATGCCCCAATGTTACATTACCGTAAGACACTCTTGGGGAAAGAATGGAGGCCAGCACTCACTGGAGCAGTGCCCTCTCTAGGACATCTCATGAGGGGAAATGACCACTGAAAAGAGCTATACCAATAGGGCAGATGTGTGTCACAACCCTTGAACGCTCCCCCTTCCTCAACAAACTTACGAGAAATCTCCCAAGATTGAGCAGCGAAATGGAAGGGGCTGTTTCAGCTTGGTCTTTTGTTTTTAAGTGAGTTGCTCTGGTCATTTGTTGAACTTCATTTGGACTTCAATCAGAGTGGCCAAAATCAAAGAACCAATCAACTAGTTCTGGTGCCTAAGAGGGCTTTAGAATTGTGCTTCTTGAAGAAGCAGCCCTTAACACCATGTGACAAATTACACCTGAAACTGATGGGACTTATAAAAAGCATCTCAGGATAGGGCACAGGAGGAAGATTCTGCTGATTAAAGAAAAAGGGAAGCAACCCAATTGGGCCTTTGGTAGCTCCTTCAATACCAGCAATTATCATTAGATGATTTCGATGTGTGTAGTCTGCAATAATTCTTTCAAGCTTACACTAATAGAATGGCCTGAACCACAGTAGTGACCAGTTAATAACTTAAAGATTAAATTGCTAGAAATGACTTGGCATCAAAGCAACTCGCAACTTAACCCTATAATTAGCATTTAATACAAACACAGAGAGCACACAATCATAAAACAACATGCCCTTGGATATAAATCTGCATGTCTGCTTCTTTTCATTATGCAAAAGCAAAGCATATTAGCTTGGATGGAAGAAATGATTAGTTTACAAAGGCCGCATAAGAAATTGCTGTTTTAAGATTACTACTACAAACACAGCAATTTACCTCAGGCATCCTGTTGTATTGCGTAGAACTAGAGAAGTCTGGAATTTAATTTTATGATCATCATCAAAGGAAGAATTATTCCAACCAGAATGAGGAACTATCACAGTGTTTGTTAGCGTTGAAAGCGCATCTCGAATGATTGTCATCTTTACTGCATCGCATGAAGACAAGTTCCAGAGAACGCCTGTGGAGGGGGAAAAGATCCATCAAGTATTATTTTTATGGCTAGAACCATTAGGTTCAACTTGCAAACTTTACCATATAGTTGTGGTAACAGCAAGTTAAAACACAGCACATTTAAAAGAAATAAAAACCAAATACTCCATAGCATAAAAGACAACAGTATGAGAAGCAACATCTCTCTCTCTCTCTCTCTCTCATTTTTCAGCTTAGTTCGTGGACCTTAAGTTATCACGACAGAACATAAGAGAGGAATAAGTATCCCTAGTAGGAAGGGGCAAAGTCACTGACACGTTTATAAAACAAAAGCAGTACTTTGAAAGGCAGCAGACAGACAGCAGACCAGACCATTTGTGTGGTGAAACTTCAGCTGCAATCCTATTCCCACTGACTTGAGAGAAAGCTCCATTTAACCTAGTAAAGGTAAAGGGACTCCTGACCATTAGGTCCAGTCGTGAATGACTCTGGGGTTGCGGCGCTCTTCTCGCTTTATTGGCCGAGGGAGCCGGCGTACAGTCATGTGGCCAGCATGACTAAGCCGCTTCTGGCGAACCAGAGCAGCGCACGGAAACGCCTTTTACCTTCCCACCAGAGCGGTACCTATTTATCTACTTGCACTTTGACGTGCTTTCGAACTGCTAGGTTGGCAGGAGCAGGGACTGAGCAATGGGAGCTCACCCTGTCGTGGGGATTTGAACGGCTGACCTTCTGATTGGCAAGTCCTAGGCTCTGTGGTTTAACCCACAGCGCCACCCGCGTCCCTTCCATTTAACCTACTTTACTCTATTTTACTTCTGAGTGGGCAGCTGTAGGATTGCATTGTTACAGTTAACAAGTAAAATCCAACCAGATCCCAATGTACTGGGCACCTTAAACTTCAAGCAAAATGAAGTCTACATTATACATATCGAGACAAGCTAGGATGGTTTATTCTACAATGTTGTATTTACATTCTAAAGTGTGTGAGATTAACAGTAACTTGCCACCATAACTGAAATACAGAATACATATAGAGTGGCTCAGAAACTATGAGGCATTTCTGATTCCGAATATTTTATTAGCAAGAGACTCTGGGTTGTGTTGAACTTGCTACCTTCAAAATAATTGGGCGTATAAAATAATAATCATAACGGATTCATCTTGCATGAGGTTACAGAACTACTGAAATTATGTCCCTCAACTCATCAAGAAGAGAAAGAACGAACAACTCTTCCCTGGTAAGGAAAAGGAGCAGCTAGTTAGGTGAACACTGCCTGTAGTTCCTATGTAATGCATTTAAAGTTTATGCAAGAGATGTTTCCCACAGTTGATTTCTCCCCTGAAGCGGCACACTGTATCATCGGATGTCTGGATGATTCCAATTCTCAGGAGCATGTTTTAGCGAACACAGAGTGAAGGAGGAACTGGAAAAGCCCAGTTCTGTAAGTGGAACTCGGTTTGTCGTTCTTCGTCTTTTGAGTAAGATTTTATTACGACTTTTCATAATACATTATAATAATAAAAAAAAACTAAGCTAAACAAATACAAAGAGAAGAAGGAAAGAGAGAGAGAGAGAGAGAAGAGAAAGCATATGAAATCCTCTTTCACAGGTAAATCTTAAGTTGTCCCACACAGAGGAAAGAGATCCCTTCCAGCTCTCACCTCTCTTTCTTCTCCCACCCTCCCACCCTAGGAGATCTTCCCTTCCCTGCCTCTCACACAGGGTCCTTCATCAACTAACCATCACTTTCGCCTGCATGTTAACCCCTCCTTAGACCTGAGTAGGGGACCACACAAAATACAAACGAACAGAACAGAACAGAAACAAAAACCGAGCAAAAACAAGACCTTCATTTATGGCTGAACACGGCTTGACTATTTAGATGTCATGGCAACCTATGTTTAACGCTAAAAAGGCAATAGAGAGGTGAGCTGTATTTTAGAGGAATGAAGGTGCTTGGAAGCACATGGGTTGCTTCTGATCCTCCAAGCCAGGCATAGGCAAACTCAACCCTCCAGATGTTTTGGGATTACAATTCCCATCATCCCTGACCACTGATCCTATTAGCTAGGGATCATGGGAGTTGTAGTCCCAAAACATCTGGAGGGCCGAGTTTGCCTATGCCTGCTCCAAACCATGCTACCTCTGCGTGGCAAATTCAGTATGTACAAATTCATTCCAGTCCAGTCTCTCCCAATTTGCTTATTTGCCTACTAAAATACTGGCATTATGTTTTTGTTACTATTCTGAGGGAAGAGACTTTTATGACATGCAACTATATACAGGTCAGTGGTTACAAAATATAAATATTGTGTGCTCTGCTGATTGTATAGGAATGTATGATTGATCAGCCCACACTGCAAGGTCGTCTGACTTGCCTAGCTCAGTGTCAATAAGAGCTGATTGCTTGCTTGAAAGAATAAGATTTGTATCTTGTTATCTGCCAAATGTTGTCTACTTGAGGGGAAATAATAATATGCTGAAGGGCAAGGTGTTTGCTAGGGAAAGAAAAGCCCTTTCATCACCTAGAAGTTAAGAAAATGAGTCCCAAACAATTTGCTAATGACAGGCATACACGGCCTACCCAATCAACTCCTGCACATCCAAAACACAGGAATCTGGAGGCTTTGTTTCAATTAGTACTACTAGGAAACAAGAAATACAACTGCCAGGTTTCCACACCACAATACAAGGTGTGCCACATGCAATTCTTGTGCGCATAGAAAATGCTATTTGGGATTTCAACAATGGATTTATTAGCGTAGAAAAAAATCAATAATCCGAACATATTTTTCCCCCTTTAAAATGCAAACAGTGAAGACTTGCTGGGTACCTCTAGTCCAGCTTTAAATGACAGATTACACACCAGATAGAGATCTTGCATTCAGCAACCAAGCATCTATCATCTGGAGTTGTGGAAAAACACATCCAAAGTGAGTACACGTGGCTTGAGATGAGAACTGCACCCAATTTCATCAGTGAGATGTTATATTAAGTGCTCCAAAACTGTAACTTTTCATATACTGACAGTTTAATTTCTTATCAGTAGAACAGGGATGGGGAACCTTTGACCGTTGGCCACATTGGTTGGGGCAGATGGAGGGACATAGATTTACCATCTTTGCATTAGAAAGTTTAGAAGCATTTCATGACATTACAATTCAGCCAATAGCTGCCAGGGAGAAGAATGGGGTTCATTTCAATGAAGAAACAAGAGTGCTTACAGCCGACAGCAAGAGCAGTTGAAAAGATGCACACTTATAGACATACCTTATTTCTTTTTAACTGTTTCAGTTTCTATAAATATTTTATTTTTGGTGAACTAGTAAAGCCGCTATTCTGGTTTCTAATTTGACACCTCATTCATCTCTCTATGTTATGGTAAATGCTCTATAGCATCTCTTCCAAGATTTGGCATTGTGCTGTTTAACATATAGCATTCTAGTCCATCTCTAGGACTCAGTTTAGGTAACAAAGTAAAAGCAGCACATAAATCAGATAAAATAAAAGCATGTAGGATATAACCTCCCCCCCACAAAAAACCCCGTCAGTAATATTGTGTAATTGCAACTCCAGAAGATGAAAAATTAATTTCCAAGATTTGAAGATAATGCTTGAGAACATCATATATCTTTTCTCCACAATTAAGTGCAGGCATTTATTGGCCACTAGGCATTTTGAATACAGATTTTTGGTGGGGGGGAATCCACAAATATTGCACTTCAGTTTTGAACATAGTAAGGAAGTGTTCGCTTTTATATAAAGTTGTTCTTCCCTCAAAGCAATCCTGTGTTAGGCGTAGCAACAAATCTACTTCACAATGTTACTCAGAAGTTGTTTGCGAGTCCCTCTCCACCACTCCTGGTAGCCAAATAAGCATTAGTTTTAGAATGTTTATTATTTAAAAGGTGTTTTTGTCAACTGATCAGCAGCTGAGCTGACTTACGGACAGGAAAAGTTGCCTTATCAGATTTGAGAAGGCATAGTTACAACTACTTATCAGCCTCTGACAATAGTAAGTAGGGTGTCACCTACTGTACTCACAACTGACCATGGATGATGAATAATTACACAAAGGTGAACGTTTGACCCATTTACTTGTGTGTGATCTCTCTACTGGGGCAATTTATTAATGTGCATTTAACACAAACCAGTAATGTGGCTAGAATGGATTGACCAGCATATCTGCACTTTGAGCATTTTATTGGATGAGGAAGATCTTCTTATCCCATTCACAACTGGCTCAGAACCATCAACACAGACCAAAACATCAGTGACAGAAGTTGCAATTATGTCATTTATCAACTAATACTGTGGGACCAGACAGTTGTGCTAGATCTCCTTCTCTGGATAAGGTATGTGTCTTAGGTGCTACTACGAAGTTGAGAATCAATACAGTAATTATATACAAAAATTATTTAGAACACTCTCTAGGCTCTCTTTTCATTCATATATATATATATATATATATATATATATATATATATATATATATTTGTTTAGTTTATATCCTGGCTCTTTCCCCCTGAAGGAGCCCAGGGCGGCAAATTGATGCTTAGCTGTAACTGTGGGCCAAATTCAGTAAATCCAGTGAGCTAGTGAAAGCCTGTGTACAGGCTCCTACTAGCACAATGGGGCTTTCTCCCCTTCCACATGCATTCCCTGATTCCACTTGGGATGTGGGGTCAGGAGGAAAGTGGGGAATCATTCCATCTTTCAAGCAAAAATGCTTGCAATGGCGGAATACTCATAATACTCCTCCCTGTATGTTCAGTTAAACACAGTGATGTCAATATAAAATTAGATGCTTTCTTTCTTTTTTCTTTTTCTTGCTACTTCAAAAACTCCCTGGTGAAACAAATGGCACAATACAAAAAGATTCCTGGCAGCACTTTTAGGATGTTTGTCAGAGACTATTTTACCAAGATACCAAAGGCCCAAAGTATCCTGGATCCATTATAACAAGCCATTTAGCGGTGGCATCAGAATTTGAATCAGCGGTTCCTCCTCTCCTTACTCTCCCTACGCATAATTGTTGCGTGCATGCTGTGTGCTTTCTTGATATTCTCTAGCAACGGTGCTTGGCTTATATTACATGAAGGGGGGGGAACGGGCCATAGGTGCAATCCAGAGAAAAGTGAAGCATACCTAATTCTCTGTGAAATCAGTGTTACCCAAGCACAGCTAAGAACTGATTCCATGCCTTAGGCATGCATAACTTGCTTTAGATTGCACCACCCCAAGTGTAAGGTATGGGGTATTAAGAATTTAAATGTATGTAGAAGTACTAAGAATGAATATAAAGTGTTTGTGTCCAACATACTCTAAGATAAGGTCCGTTAACTGCCTCTGTAATTTCAAAAGTAATAAATCACACCAGGTTTTAGTGATGGAGAGTATAACTCATGAAAAATGAGATTCCAAAGAAATAAACACAAAACACCCTTAGGCAGAATAAAGCTGTTTGAGGAAGTGGAGAAATGTACTGGTTATTCTTCCATGTCAGCAACACAGAAACCAAGACTATGCACTAACTTTGTGATTCTACAGCAGAGATTATAGGCAAGACTTAAAATATTAAAACGTTTAGTCAAATACCATCTTTCTGCAGTATGGATTTCTGACACAAAGAGCACTTACAGCTAAAAGTAATGTGAAAGTGACAATAAACACCTGAGTATTGCAAATAAACTGAGTATTGCAAGACTCTTAGTAGCAAGGCAATGGCCATCTCTTCCTTGGAATTAGTATTGTGTATCTATTTCCCCCTCATGCTTGTTTCAGATACCAAACCAAGTTGAGTGAGAACTTCCCTAACAGGAAATGACATGGGCAAAAAAAACCCTGAGGACCTTCACTATAGCCTGCACGATGGTGCAGTTGTTGTTTTTATTTTATGTGCATAGTGAAAGAAACACCCTTAAGAGGTGGTAGTGTCTAGAACCAGCCCCCATGTGATTTGGGCTCTTAGAGTTAGCAGCTGTAACCTTTCGTTTGGTGGTACACATAAAGTGCAGAAGCACTGACGATCCCAGGATACAATATGTAGGCACATGTAGCTGAAGCTACAGAGGCCTCGGTTTGGTCATTGTGTGGCTGGGCCATCACCTGAGAACTACATGTATGCCATCTGGGGTTGCATAACAATAGAAAGGTGGAATATAAATGAAAGGGGGAAATGGTAATAAAACAGCGTACACCCCATGAGGTGAGCAGATAAAGCTTTTTTTTCCTGTGAAGTTCGCATGCCATACATAATAAACTGCTAGCCACACCGGTCCAACGGCCCTATGCTATGCTTGAAATATCTGAGCTGGGTTTAAATCACAGCATTTTAAGCAAATAACCAACATGGCACTTATTTATCAGTATAAGCTGTGATTTGATTATCTTGCTGGGCTAACTGAAAAGAATGCCTGCGTACTTTCACAAAAAAGGAAAAGGAAAAAGGCCTGGGAAGAAATAAGCAGCACTGCGCCCTAAGGCACGGTTTCCCAAACTTGGGTCTTCAGCTGTTTTTGGACTACAACTCCCATCACCCCTAGCTAGTACGACCAGTGGTCAGGGATGATGGGAACTGTAGTCCAAAAACAGCTGGAGACCCAAGTTTGGGAAACCCTGCCCTAAGGTAATGGGTTGCCCAGGCAGAAACCTCTAGAGTGCTTGAGCCTTGCAAGAAA